CATTAATATCTTTGCCATAAAATATGGTCAGGAGTGTGTTACAATTATGAACAATCTTTTTTAACTAATAACACACAAATCAATTGCACTGTTCTTTTCCATTCTAAATACATATTTCAAACATTCACATTGTTGGAGAAAATCTATAAAGCTCTTGGATAATGACAGAAACAAGAGCTACCTGGAGTCAGTAGTTATGAAGTTAGAGCTGCAGTACTTTAAATCAGCAAACACTTGGGTGTGCTGTTCAATAGAAACATCTACTAATACACTTCATGCCCTAACAGAAAAATATATCAGAAGACTTATTTTTTTTGAATTGCATAAAGCTGGAAAAGATTATACAGTATCCACATAGATTTAAGATATTTGTTAGTCCACAGTTAAATGGCTATAAATGGATATGTTTTAGTTCTGTGGCTACTAGGTGGAAGTATGGCCAAGATGATCTAGTGCACATTGTAGAATGATCCGTGAGGCAATAAAGAACCCGAATGTAACAACTAAAAGGTGTGACAAGAGCTGGTTAAAATATCTGCTCATGAATCTACTATTCAAATCATGGGGAAATAGTTGCATGGAACCTTGTTCCCATGGCAGAACATCATGGAAGACATAGATCTCTCGGTTTGGTCAGGCGGCCAGCTCTAGGAGGAGTCCTGGTTTTTCCAAACCTCTTCTATTTAAAATTATGGATGCAACTGTGGCTCTTGGAAATGTTAATAGCAGCAGAACGTTTTTGTAGCCTTTCTCAGATCTGTCAATCCTGTCCCTGAGCTCTGCAAGCAGCTCCTTCAGCTTCAGGGCTTGGCTTCCGCTCTGATAGGCACTTTTCAGCTGTGAGGCTTTGTATTGACATTAGTGTGCCTTTCCAAACCTTGTCCAATCAGTTGAATTCACCACAGGTAGATGCCTATCAAGGTTCAGAAACGTTATCAAGAGAAATAGCAGCATTTTTTTGTTTCCCCCCATCAATCTATTATTTCCAGGTATGTCTGTCTTTCTTATCTGTCTGTATGTGGCTTGCAGATCTTGAGAACCGTTTGTCGTCTTCACACAATTGGTATGTGTATTGTTAACAACCCAAAGACGTGCAGTGTTAAATTTGGTGTGATTTGGATATGCACTACATTCAGTATTGATACACTTTGAATTAAACAGGCCCTCTCAGTTTAGATTTGTGTAGTTCTACAATCTGTGTGTAGGTGATCAATTGAGTAATCTGTGCTCATGTCCAATATGTTAAAGGACTGATTGGGGAATTAGGGATCTGAATGATGAGTGAATGGGAACGGAGATGACAATGTGAAAGAAAAGGTAACAGAACAGGGTTGATGGTGATGACCCAAGTGAAAAGCAGGAGTGGGGAGATGCACTGGTGGATGTGATGTCTGCATGGCAGTGAATGTATGATTTCAACATTTAAGCTAAACCTGCATGTAACAGTGATACATGTGGTTTGTGCTACACTGTAAGAGAATGTGAAGTAAACTTTCACTCATTTGCTTATTAACTAAATTAGCCAATAAACTTTAGTTTTTCTGAGAAGATTCAACATTTTAGTTTAAACCTTGTGTGTGTTTGCAGCAAGATGTGTGGTCATTATGTTTTTTGTTTCTCCTTAACAAAAGTATCACTTGTGTAAAAGGAGTAGACTCTGTCTTTCACTTGCTGCTCTTGACGACTGATCTAAGAGAATTTATAATTATAATTCTTATTGGAGTGGCCTGTTCTGTCCTGTCTGCAGTATATTGAAATTCCTGCTTCATGAGTGGAATCTGAGACAGTGGGAAAAGCCCAAAGGAAGTTAAAGCAGTATCGAAGCCCAAGCATCTGCTTACCTCATGCTGAAGACCTTGTCAAAAGCACCTTACCCCCACTCCCTGTACTCCTCGGCAGATACTCTTACACTGAGTGGGACAGATCACAAGGGTTTCCCCCCCTGTTTCCTCAGAAAAAAGCCTGCAAAAGGAAATTTACCTTGTTGTAAAGTTTATACCCTACCATTTATAAAATTTCAGTCAGAGCACAAGGAAAAGAGCAATTAAATGATGAACGATTTGATGGTTATATACTCCACCTGTATAGTTGTGTTTATTAAACTTATGATTTGTCAATCCTGAGAGGTGACCAAATGAAGTACTGCATTTCACCATATGCATGTGAACACATCAAACCTGTGAATAGGCTGTTAGAGGCAGAAATGGATGGACACACTCAGTATATTATATTCACACAAGGAACCTCAGCCAACACATCTGCTGTAGTAATCTGGTTACTGTAAGTTCATATAAAAGCATCAATAGTGAGATTTCTGATCATATTTTGGAACCATGGCTTGCTTATGCTCAAAGATTTTAACTGCATATGCTTTTTTGAAGAAGTACCAAAGAGGATGTACCACTGGTAAGAACATGCTCTTTTAGGTCAAGTGGATATAATTACCAGTGAGCTTTATGGCAATACCAATACATTGGTTGTCACACAGCAAGAACAGAATCAGGTCCTCTGCATCATCAGAGTTTTCAGTGTAATGAAGGTTGAAGAATAACAGGGTCTTTATGTCGAAAGAGCAAATTCCTTTTTTCTGTAGTGTGGTATTTCTGACATTGGTGGACATTTGCTTTGTGATTACCACCAGGAAATCTCTTAACAACAATGATTACTTCAGGCCTAAGTAGCAGCAGGAGCAATTCAGTCATTGTATGAGGCAATATTTTCCCACAAAGGTCTAAAAAGGCAGATTTACTGTTCCCCTGCACTCCTGGAGTGGGTTTCACAGTTCAAAGTACTGTGTTATTTGTCTGTGTGGCTCAAACACATCCTCTCATATTTCTTATTACAAGGTTTCCCCTCCTAGTAATAAGAGTAGCTCTGCTGGGAAAGCCTGATTTCTGCTGAGGTTGGATATGTGTAACTTCTGTTAGACCACTACCTGTCAGCGCTGCCTTTTCAATCAATCATTCAATAAAAATGTATTTGTACAGCCCACATTCACAAATTACATTTTTTCTCATAGGGCTTAACAAGGTGCAGCATCCTCTGTCCTTAACCCTCAACAAGAGTAAAGAAAAACTACCAACATAAATCACTATTACCAGGTGGAATTGTTTTTAGAAACCTTAGAGGAGGCTACATGGGAGGGATCCCTCTCCTAGGATGGACAGAAGTGCAATAGATGCCACATTTCTATAAGCTGTCCCTTCCAAGCAGGATTTCTCTTGTTGGGGTACTTCATTAAACAGTTTTTGTGTGACAGCTCTACTCCTGAGCCAAGAGATCAAGGACACTCTACCTGTGACTGCATGCCATCAGCGACATCACTGTTTCCCCACAATAAAGCAGTTGACAAGATAATAATATTAATATAGTTTCTACATTACTTGATATAATAATAAGTTGATTTACAGTGTTCCCATCCAAAAGACACTGTTCAGTCTTACAGTTTCCTGATACGTATGTTTGCCAGGTGGGATTTTACCAATAGTGGCTGTTGTATCCCAAAGGGTAAAGGTTTCTACCATTGTAATGTGTCCTACTAAAAGTCATAGTCAATATTCAGCTGCCTTACTTACCAGATGGTCTTTGATCTGTATTCTCTAACCCTGACTAACTTGGACTGGATACAATGCTTGCTCTTGGACTCCTTTAAATCCAACCTCCCAGACCCCAGATCATTGAATCACTTCCCACTTTGAGTACTGACGGTTTGGTTTCAATAAAAAAAAAAAATACAAAAAAATCCTACCCTGAATAATATGATGGTCAGCAGTGCCAGTGGCAGCAATGGGGCACTAGTCTGAAATTCTCCCTCCATTGCTTTATTTGTCTCTTCCCCATGAAGCTTGATGGTCATTTGGGCTGGCTTGTGTCTCACATGATATATTGACCCCGTACATGTCATATCATAACCATTAACAGATTAGCTTCAATTGCCTAAACTAAATCAGACCTTAACCACAAAGACTTCAGAAGAGAAAACACATGCTTTCAAGGGAATGATAAAAAACAAAACCATCATTTTCATTTTTGTTGAATGTCAAAGTTTGACTTTTTGGTTGCATTTGCTTATGTATAGCTAGTTTAAGATGTAAACAAACTTCCTGGCTCCGTTGAAGTTTCCTGTTTAAGAGCTTAAAGGGATAATTCACCGAAAAATGGAAATTCACTCATTATCTACTCACCATTATACCGATGGGTGGGTGAAGTGCTTGAGTCCACTTAATACTTTTAGGGTTTCAGGGGTAAACAGTGTTGCAGCCAAATCCAATACAATTGAAGTAAATGGCGACCACTTTTTAAAACATAAAAAAAATGCCTAAATTTCCGATGTAATTCTCCTCCTTGTTCCTGCTGGTCTCATCTCTTGAGAACTCAGGAGTATCGCGAGAACTCGCAGTTACTGCAGCAGTAACTAGAAGGAGGATAACAGCAGACATTTAGGCTTACAACATGGTGTAAATGTATTTGAATGTCGGGGGCTCACGGACATCTGGATGATACCACAGGAGCAGTATGGAGGCATTTTATGTGTTATTCATATGTCTGAAGAGGTGGTCGCCATTTACTAGAATTGTATTGTATTTGGCTGCAATGCTGTTTACCAATGAAACTCCAAAAGTGTTCTGGGGATTCAAACACTTCACCCAACCCTCCATCAGCATAGTGGTGAGAAGATAATGAGTGAATTTTCATTTTTGGGTGAACTTTGCCTTTAAAGGCAGAGGATGTTGCACCTTGTTAAGCCCTGTGAGACAAATTGTCATTTGTGAATATGGGCTGTACAAATACAATTTGATGGATTGATTGATTAAAAAAAAACAGCTGAATCTGCTCAGCTCAGTTTGCTGCTTCATCAAAAATCTGCTTCAGTTTAATTGAACTGACTCAGATTTCGATAGATGAATGACTGACAAAGACTCAGCAGAGTCCCAGTGTTTCTTTTCCCTCTAGTGTAGAGTTTCTAACCTCGGTCTTCCTCTCTGTTGTTCTTTTTGTAGCAGTAAAGAAAAAGGAGAAGAGATCAAAAGTAGGTGAGGATGGTCGTGGGAAGAGAAACGCCATTCGCCTGCATGAAGCATACACTGTGGAGACGGTGGTGGTGGCAGACTCGGACATGGTGCAGTACCATGGTGCTGAGGCGGCGCAGAGGTTCCTTCTCACAGTCATGAACATGGTAAGAATCCTTGACACAAACAGAGCCCTCTGACTCACCTGCTATGTGTTTTATTTGTGATAGACAAATCAAGTGGTGACGAACCAAAGTTTCTCTGTTTACACAGTTTCTCAGCTGAGCTTTGATGGAGGTTATACAGTTAAAAAGGCCACTTTTAAAGACACCCCCATGATTAATTATCCTGCTTTAAGATAAACCTTACAAAATGTGATCATATCCGTGAATGATAAATGGTCTGTATTTATATGGAGCTTTTTTTAGCCTTGATGACCACTCAAAGCACTTTACACTACAGTTTTACAATCACACACACAGGCATACAGTGCCTTTCTGTATGAGAAAGGGAAATTTGGGGCTCAGTATCTTGGCCAAGAACTCCTCAGCATGCGGAATGGGTAAGATCTAACTGGTTAGAGGATCACTGTTCCTTCCCCTGAGCCACAGTCGCCCTCTGAATGCAGTCAGAATCACAAATAAAACATTTCCAGGTTTCTCGTGTTCTACTGAAACTTCTTATCCCAAATGTAACAGTTCTCAGTCTTGGGTGCTGGGTGCTCTGTGTTATTGATGGAGATGATCCAGAACTACATCTCTGTTTTGTCACTTACGCCGTCGTCTATAACAACAGATTCGACCAGTCTACTGTATAAACCTGCTTAGTACTCAGAACAGCACAGGGGAGTCTTCTTAGCTCTGGCTCAGGCTTTGAGGCCACAACAGGGGGAGAGGAGAGGCGTGCACAGAAAGGAGCTGGGAAAACAGTGAGAAAGCTCAAATCTATCAGTTTCTGTGTCAGCAGAACATCTCTTCAGGACTGCAACTCATAATTATTTCTCTTACAGATTAAACTGTCAGTCAAACAGATTAATCAATTAGTCTGCAAAATGTTGGAAACTTATCGAAATAGTCTGTTTGAGATTTTTTACGTTGAGAGTGAGGAAAGTGAAAGTGAGGATGTTTAGACCAGTCATCACTTTATAACACACCTTCAAAGGTGGAAATGACAGCCCCCAAAAGTGAAACCAGAACAGTCCCCTGCTGGCTGGCTGCAATATAGGTGTCAGTCATAAACCCTGCCTCCTCCATGTTAGCGAATGGAACATGGACCAAACTTAAAAGTCAAAGTATACAAATAAAGTTTTCCCGAAGATGGTTTCTGTCATAGTTCTCATTACACTGATGTATGTTAGAGTGTTCATGTTTCTGATTAGTTTGGTTTTAATTAGTGAATTGATGCTATAAATAGGATGAAACGTCATGATTGATTGCTTGGATTGACTTGTGATTGGCTGGGTGGGAGTATCGATGGGGCCTTGATACCTTGGCATCAATATCTGATGACAACTGGTTTCAAATGACATCACCAGTGTGAGACAGACCTTTTATTTACGGTGGAAGCATTGTCTCAACCTCATATGGTCATTGGTTAATGCTAGACTTTAGTGTTATGGTTAAAATTAGTGATAGGTTTGGGCTAAAGTTGGGGTTAGGCATTTCCATGGCTTTAATTGTTGCTGACCTAATGGAAATACCTCACCACTTTACCAACCTTCCAGAGATAGAAGCCCAGCACCAGGCTTCTTAATTAAAGGCCTTGTATGTCACATGCTGTCATTGGGCAAGAACAACATTATCTGTGTGCTTGTTTATAATTTTAAGGGATATCATGAAACAGGACATTGACATCTCTGCTCATTTGTCTTCCTGATGGTGAATTCTGTGAAAGTGTTTTTCCGTCTCTTCCAGGTCTACAACATGTTCCACCACCAGAGTCTAGGTGTGAGGGTCAACATTCGAGTCACCAAGCTGGTGTTGCTTCACAGCCGCCCAGTAAGCCTGCGTTTTTCACCCTGAGTGACCCCTCTTAAATGCTCTGTTGACCCTCAACAGCCTGACTGTCAGCAGATGCATGCACATGTGTGTATGGAATCTTATTCATGCCCCTCGGGAAAGTGATTTCCTCTATTGCTTTGTCCTTGTGGATTGAAGAAAATGAAGACTGCCTGTGCGAATGAAAAATTTGAACTATGACTACAATTATTTTCATCAATTTCTTAATTTTCTTTTCATATTTGTCAAGAGTTTAGTTTGAAGTGTCCATGGTAATGTACTTAAATACTGTGGTCCCCGAGCAAGTTTGAAATAGGTATCTGCAGGCTGGTATATATTTCAGTGTTAAATACTGGGCCCAGTAATGTAGAACACAACTCTGTATATGGTTTTTGGCATCTATGTTACACACTTTTAGATTTTATACTCATATTGTTTTTGATTTAATTTAAATTAATTGACCCGTGTGACTGTGAATTTATTTCTTAAAGAGAGTTACAAAGCTACAGAGCTGGACCAGATTTATCAGCTCTGTATCTCTTCCTCAGGAAAAGCTACATGTGGGCCATCATGGAGAAAGGTCTCTGGAGAGCTTCTGCCATTGGCAGTACCAAGAGTTCGGGGGGCCGCGCTACCTGGGCACCAACCATGTTCCTGGTGGAAGGGATGATATCCCACCAGTGGATACAGCTGTGCTGGTCACCAGGTATGTCATATTAATAAACGATAATGAATGACGTAAGTATCTAATGTGACCTCAGCTGTTGGAGCATCTACAGTATTGGAGAGGATCCAGAAGGATGTCATTCCATTTTGGGTTTGAAAAGATAAATAATCTAAATAAGTATTTTGGTTTTCCCTGTATTCAAATAGCGGTTTTGTCTTTGAAGAATAGTTTCTCTGAAAAAGCCGGTTATACAAGTAATCAGCAAAGGCATGACTGTATTAAACAGCACTTAGCAGCAGATGACTCATTAGATTTCCTTCTGTACACTCAACCTTCTTTTGTGCCAGAGCAGACGGAGCAATGAGAGGACAGATGTAGACCATAGAATCTCCTCATGGCCCAAAAGTTTCACAACTCGACCAAGGGTCCAATGTTCACTGTTACTTTGTGTTACTCTCAAATACATTTGGACGTGGAATGGAGTGATTTTAAACCCACAAGCTTTATGTAATAACCTCTTTATCCACTAGCTGTTCAGGTTCACTTTCTCTGTCTAGTCTTTGTCATGCACATGTGTGCTTGTAAAACACCTGTTAAAAACCTGATATCCACAGAGATGGACAGGAAATGTTCTCTCTCCTGGAGGAATCTAGCTGGGAAAATTAGGTTTCTCTTATCCCCAGCCCTTCCTATAGAAACTTGGTCTCTCATTGTGATATTTATGAAATAAACACACTGAAAAAACCAAACTAACCACACATAGACACATAGATGCAAAGGTAATTGGGTTCAATTGCTTTGTTCCTGTTCCTTTCCCCTGTACATATTGATTTTCTTGTTTTGCACATGATGGAACTTAGACGTTTGCAAGTTTCTGAAGTGTGTCATACACCAGCATACCTCATTGACTAATATTACCACTGAATGACAGATCATTTCTCAGCATATTGTCTGAAAATGCCATGTCACAATCTTGTTTTTCATTTTTGTGTTGCTTCTACTTGGAGAGTAAATGAGGGAGCTGGGTTAAAAGGAGTCATCTTGTTTAAATGAGTAGTCATGTCCATTGATAGATTCTGTCTTGTCTTCTTTTATGTGGGCATGTATACAGTGGTCTTTTGTTCTTGAGGTGGTTTGTTGCAAACCTGATCTGCCCTCCCATCTCTGCCCCCCCCTACCCCCACTACCTCTGTTATGAGGCTTCCTCTGTGAGGACGGGAGCAATCAGGAGCAGCATCTGCTGGAAGGGCAGCAGAGGGATGCTGCCAACAGCAGTCAGGATGATAGCGAGGCAGCATGCAAGCAAATTAGAGCAAGTTGCTCTCAGGTTTCCTTATGGTTGATTAGTGTCCTTTGTGTATGTGTGTGTGTGTGTATGTGCATGTGCTTTGCTATAATCTCACATAGCTCATGGAAGGCCCATGTGGATGATATCCCAGCAGTACATCTCTTACTGCTTATTAACAAACTCTTAGGAGAATAAAAGGTATTTGATATTGATGTCTGGATGATTTCATGTCACTTGCATAAAATGTTTAGGCACCAGGTTATAAAAGTTTAGAACTTTTATTATAAATGATCAGAAACTTTGTTTAATGACAGATTGATCATTTAGAAAGAATGATTGGAGATACTCTCCTTCATATTTTTACACTCAGAAGAGAATAATCTGGTACAAGCCCTGTTTTACTGGTGGACACACAAACCAGTCGATAGGCACGTCCCCTGAAATGTTTAGTGAACCTTTTAAGTGTTCAACCAATGCACCATAACACTTTCCTGAAAAGCTACCTAGCCTGTCCCAGCCCACACTGCGTGAGACCTGACAGATATTTGAAAGTGAACATCATTAGGAATACATCTTTTTTTCAAGACATGCCTTATGCATGGAGTTTTACTTTATAATTCCATCCATCATATTTGTTCTGATGAAACCTTTTTCTTTCCTTTCTCTCTCAAAGCTTCACTTTTCCTCTCCTTTGCTGTGCACGTTCCACATGCAGCCGAAGCGCTTTATGTGTTTTTCCACCCAGCTCCTTCCAAGCAGGTGTCAGATCTACGTAATGTTGACCCCATGTCCATCAGGCACAAGGAAGCAGCCAACCCTGCCAGTGGTTCACCAGACTAACAGTCTGAATGTTAACTGCTTGTTATGAGTCTTATTTGGATAAAGATCCAGGTTTTTTAAGTTAATTATCTTTGGAGTTCCATTACCTATAGTGTCAAAACTACAGTCACCAGGTACTTTATTAAAAATACCTAAACATCACCTAATTCATACAATTATCCAATCATGTCTCAGGAGAGCAGTTTATAAAATCATGCAGTTAAAGGTTAGAGAGTTCAGTTAACGTTTTTTCTGAAGCTGTTGTTCTCCTGAGATTTTAACACACAAAAAGTGCTACTCCGAATGAGGCCAAAAACAAAAACACCTAGTGAGCAGCAGTTCTGTGTTGATGAGAGCAGTCAGAGGAGGAATATACAACTGCTTGGAACTGACAGAAAGGCTGCAGTTACTCAGATAACTACTCTTTACAACTGTGATGAGCAGAGAAGCAACAAACGAGATGTTGAACCTTGAAGTGGATGGTTCTACAACAAAAGAGGCCAAGTCAGTTTCCTCCTCTGTTAGCCAACAACAGAAATGTGAAGCTGAGTTGACATCGACTCAGAAATGCTGCACAGTTGAAGACTGAAAAACATAGCCTGGTCTGATGAAGCTGGATTCTTGCTGAGGCTGCAGATGGTGGAGTCACAATCTGGAGTCAACAGCATGAACCTACAAACCAGCCTTAGGTCAACAGTCCAGGCTGCAACCGGTGGTGTGGTAGTGAGGGGAGAGTTTCTTTGGCACACTTTGGGGCCCTTCATCATAACAATGACACAGTTAATCTGAGAATTGTTGCTGACCCTGTTCTATTAGAACATGGATTACACAATATTAAACTTTTATTGTGAGGGTTTATAAAGAGGATTAACTTTCGGAGCTGTTTGGTCAAAGGTCAAGGTCAAGTAAAGTATGGTCTAAAAAACACAAGATGTCTCTAGAAATAATAGAGAGTACAGTTGAAAGCTTGTATTGATTATTCCCCATCATATGATTTTGTGTGATAGCTAAGTGACATCAAGAAGACACAAATAGGTCAGAAAATTGCCATGTAAATCATGTATTGTTAAAAAATATTGTCTACATCCTTTGTGTTGATCTCAGTTGTAATTCCTACTCTGACAATTGTGACAGCACCATTACTACAAAATCAAATGTTTGGCAGCATTTGGACATGATAAACTGACACTTTAACAAGAAAATACGCAATAATGGTATTTAGTATAGAAACAGCAGCTCTGCTTTCTGCTCCCCGAGGAGTTCACCTACCTGCACATGTGGCACCTCAAGTGCGGTGCAACTGTGATGACGCTGTGCCATTCACAGGGCAGAGCCGGACACTTTAAAGTGGGAATGTTAGAAATAAGTGGGTTTTTTTCAGTTTATCATGTCACCTCGTAAAAATGTTATCATCTACGGTTAATTGTGCTCATGATTTTTCTGTGCTTTTATTTTATCTTGTGCATTCTCTGGCTCAAACCAACAGTATTATTGGTGGCATATTTTAACTTTTACTACTGATGGCTACTACTACTGGCAGATTTCCTCACACTGACAGTACTACTCAATAAGTGATACAATACGATATGATATACTTTATTGTCCCCATAGGGAAATTAGTTTTGGACTCAAATGCTGTTGACATACGCTTCAATATTTACAGAACAAGTTACATAGCAGCACCAACTGTGTGAATCAAAACATTAAAATGCACACAAAATGTTTCAATAAATAAAATATTGCACCACACACCCCATAGAATATGTTAGTTGATGTGCATGTTGAGGTATAAATTATTATTGTCTCTGTAAAGAATGGTTTCCACACATTATGATGTCTGTTTTCACTGAAGCTCCTGTTTGAGCAGTAGTTGATAATGATAATCCTGTATTTTAAAATAATTTCCTGTCGCACCCCCCCCCGCTTTGAAGACACACGATGCACTTGATTGAACCAGCGTACAGCAGTGATGTTACTGAACTTAACTGCTCCTCTAATAACAAAGCATCCTGGTAGGGTTGCATACAGACCACTGCTAGCAGCCTGAAGCTGTGTGCTTTTGATTCTTACGTGAAATAATGCAGATCATCCAAGCTTTTCAATTTCAAATGTCATTGATTCACTTACATTAGCACAGATGTTATTTGGATATTATAGGTTTGTCATTAGTAACTGCAAGCAATAGCATTGCTTTATTTAAAATCTCAACAATGTTATTACAATGACAATCCCCGGCAAAACCTTGTGTCAAGTCTGTTTACATCGACGACTACTGATGAGGTGTCGGGTTCCTGGGACTTTTACTTATGATGTAACAGCTTCTTGAATTGGACCTGTTGTCCACACTGCTTCAACATGTTCTAGGCCCTTAAGTGGAGACTTTAGAAAAACAATTAATTATACACAATTATTATACACAAAGAAGACAAGATCTCAAGAGAGATTGTGGAGAAAAGAGATTTGATGCTGTTGTGAACTTGTCTCTGCAGAGAACCTCCCACTGCGTAGTGCATGTGTGGAAGACATACGTTCATAAGTTACTGCGGAGTCGACTCCAGCATGTGAATGACCAATGTATGTGAACATGCATTTTCTGTGTATTTCAGGTAGGGCTGCACTATATATCAGAAATCTATCGTGATCGCGATATCAACGTGTGCGATAGATGCATCACAAAAACTGTGATAAATGGTGTTTCATGCGCCACGCATTCACACTCTGCATGTCAATATATTTGGCCAATCAGATGGAGCCCTGCTGCCCTAGATGATAAATTAAAGACCTTCAGATCATTGATGGGTCAATGATCTGATTGTTGGAAGAAGGGAATAAGAAGAGAATAGAGACAAAACAGATCATTTGAAAAGTAACAGCGCACACACACAAGTAAAAACAACTGAGTTTATAAACCTAGTAAATATATGTAGAGCTGGAGAAGCAGTGCGCTAGGCGCAAATGACAGAGGTACTGAGAGGATGTAAATTACAGACAGAGCCGCTAAAAACTGTTAAAAAAAAACTTCACGGTCCAAACATGTATGAAAAGACCCCAAATTAACACTGTCAGTACAAAGTGGAGCTGTGCATGGCTCCCTGGTGCCTGCCCCGACTTGGTGGTGCTGCGGCCGGGCTGTGCACCTTCTCCTGGCTGTCTGTGATCTTTGTGTCAGTAGCCAGGGACTGTTAATGTTTATTTATCGCAAGCCATATCATCAATGCGATATTAAACAAACGTTATCACTAATATCGTGCAGCCCTAATTTCAGATGTGTTAGTCTGGACAGAAAGTATGGATTCTTTCTTATATGAAGCTAAAATGCTCATCTGAACAGACATTGTTGTCGTTTTCAAATGAAATATATATGATATTAAACTGTGTGAACAGAACTTGGGTCTGCAAATTAAGCCACAGGATTGATTAAAGCTGATGGCCCAGGTGAAAATAACAAGAAATAGATGGGTACTATTGCAAACTCAATTTTGATATGGTACTTTAGCATATTAATCTGTTGTTGCATCATTCAATATTTAGGAGCTCTCTAAATCTTTATATCTCTGCTGGTTCCTTTTCCTTAATTGGCAGGTCATGACCATGATCGAGTTCTTACAAAAGCCTAAATAATCGAACACAAAACACAAAATTTGAACGACAACATTTCGTCACACGTGTTGTCAACCAGATCTTGTTGAGGTCTGGTTCCCAGAGGCCAAGCTGCAGCTGTTCACACCTAGCTGAGGCTTACTACATGTAAGTGGGAACCTCTCCTCCTCCGCTGTTGTCGCTGTAGTGCAAGTATACTCAGCATTGCCAGGGGCCATAAAAACCTGCGGCTTTAAACGTTTAGAGCCCCAGGGTTTTCCCTTGATATCTTGCCTATCGTTCGCAAGGGTGTAGTGTAGTTGAATGGATTATTTGGATCGGGATTGGTGATTATGCTTGATCTCAGCAGATTAAAGCTCATACGTATTTTGTGTTAAATACAAGGCTACATTCAGAATGACTTCAGCCTTGCATAAAAAATGTGGCCCAGGGATTTATTTGGAGGGTGTCTGCCTGTTGATGCAACAGGGGTGACAGCAAAACAATGCAGCTCTCTTGTTGACTGACTGTGGAACTCAATCAAATTTTGCATCAAATTTGCAAAGCCCCGATTTATAAATCACAATTTGTCTGATGGGGCTTAACAAGGTGCAACATTATCAGTGAAAAAAAAATGTAAAAATACTTCAGAGAGCCACATGTGAGGAGTTCCTCTCCCATGACTGCAGATTGAACAGGTCCAGAATGGATGCTGCATAACACTTTCAATTGCAGCTGTGGTTGATGTGTAGCGAAGGTGGCATCTCCATTGAAATAATGAAAGGAGCAGACTTTTCAAACAGCTCTCGAAAGGGCCTTCCTCCAGATTTAATTGCTTTGCCCTGCAGGTGGAGTTCAGATCACCTCCTATCAAGACTTTGTCCTTTGAAATATTATCCATGAAGACTAATGTTTTTATGGCTTGCCCCTGTACTTATATTATGTGTGCGTTTTTTTTCTGTTACGGATATCGGGACATTATCAAGGAGCCATGTTTTACATGCAGACCTTATATGAGGATATTTAGCCACATTTGCTTAGATATGAGCCCAGCCTGGATCAATGGACGTAACAATCATGCAGCGATAGAAAGATGCGTTTTTAAATCTACCTGTGTTTATTTGAACTCATTGTACTCATCTTTTGTCTCATCTGTGAAAGGTTCAGTTGACATTTGTGACAAATGTTTTCACAATTTCCTGTCAGGGGCCAACACTTATAAAATCTCTGTTTGATAGGACTCTACACTGGGAGGAGTTTAGTTCAATGGCAATGAGCAAAATCATTTATCTGTTCATACTTCTATTATTAATCACTCAGTTAATATGTAAGCTATAAGATATATTGGGAAGTGCAGGACTGGTTATACAAAAGTACCTTCAGGAAACATGCACTAATGGTTACTTTACTTTACCCCCCTATTATGTCTGCAGAACATTCAAAGTTCCTATCTTTGTGGAATGATCTGGGAATTTTAGAATAGAACAGTAACATTTTCCCAAAACTTTTTTTTTTTTTTTTTACCTCACATCAATGCTGTAGATGTCAAGAAAATGTTCATGGGGAAGTTTAACTTGCAAACATATAAATGATCTAACCTTAAAAGACAGTTATATTCAACTGGACTGAGATTTTGTCATTCCTAGGCAACAAGTTGGAGTAACCCGCAATAAAAGAAAACTTTAAGCCAAAATCTGTTGAGAGGTTAGAAAGTAAGCAGGCTTTAAAATTCTCTTTGGGTCTCATATTTCCAGTCTTCACACAACAACCTCTTTCACCGTTTGTGTTAACAGCAGTAAATGTTTGCACAATGCCATAAATGTTTTCCAGGAGAGACATCAGGGAATTGTGTGCTTTTATATTTAAATGATAATTGTGTCTTGCCGCTCTTTATGACAACTGGCTTCTCACCACGTCTTTCCGTGTGGTCATTCAGAGTAGCTATAGACAAAGTATTTCCATCCATAAGGTGGTTGGCTAACTAGTTATTTTTTGCATAACCCCATACACAGAGCCGTTTATTAGTTTAGTTTACACATTCTATATGAATGGTTATGTTATTTTCAGGAGATCGGTACAATAAGCTCTGTGTTTCTTTTTCAGGACAGATTTCTGCGTCCATAAAGATGAACCCTGTGATACAGTGGGTAAGTAAAACATCTCTCTTGCCTTTTGCACAAACATGCACACAAGCAAAGTCACTGAATCTGTCCTCAAAAGGATTGAAGAGGATATACTCAAATGAAACATTCACGCACAAAACATTAGTAATGTCAACACAAAGTCTCACTTTAAAACTTTTTCTGCATGCAGTCAAGGGAATGCCATTGCCAGAATGCTGTATAAGCATTTCCAATTGTCCCAATTGTGCCGGGAGGCCTCCTGGGAGGGCAAGCACAATGATAAACTTGTAGTCTTCACTTAGTGAGGTTTTGAAAAAAAGCATCTGCATAGTTGTATCAATTCAGTAACTGGTGATACAAGAAAATATGTTGCAAAAAGTATTTTAAAGTTTGAGTCAGATCCATGACTTGGAAGGACAGCTGTTCCAAATGTTCTGGTCAGAACTGCTCAAACTAAAGTTCATCCACCTGCTAAAGGTTCTGGAGTCACTGAAGGGTCAAGTTTAGTCTCTCGACTAATCTCCACTTCTGGCCATGGGGTTGGTCCTTTAAGTGTGGCCAACCAAAATAGACACCTCTTTTGGTTCTCGTTAGCTGCTTTCAGACATGCGCTGAACTTGGCAGTTCCTCTGTGCATGTGTGAATATAAATGTCCCAGTAAACGCTCCGCAGTTCCTGAAAAATGTTCTTCACCTGGCCCCCTGGTACAATGTCTGTAGAAAAAATACAGCTGGAATCATCTCCAGTGAGTGTGGGGGGGTTGCTGATGCTAACGCAATAGACATATAAAAAACTAATCAATTCAGAATTGAAATGTAGGGCTTCCAAATTAAGTTGTAAATTTAATACCATGAAAGAGCAGCAACAGTGTAACTCCCCATCCTCCCATTCCTAATGAAGTCTCTTCTATTTACACACTTTTTTAACAATTTTCAAAATTGGACTCAGTTCAGCTTACAACATTGTAAGAGTTTAAATGAATTTGATTTAATATCCCAGTCAGACTGAGGACAATTACTGGCTTGATGACTTAACCATTAGGATTTTGGGTAACACTTTATATTAGGGAACAAATATCAACCAATAACTAGTTAACATGGATATTAGAGGCATATTGGCTCTTTATTAGTTATTATTAAGCACTTATTCTCAGTGACCTTATTCTGCAGCTACTCCATTGATTAACAGTTTTCCCTTAATAACCTCCTAATTACTGCTTATTGATGGTAAGTAAGGACGTTGTTGTATACATATCAAGTGCTTGGATGTGTTCACATTGTGTTCCCTATTATAAAGTGTTACTGGATTTTGTCTTTTTATTATGCCTCTGCCAGCGACAGCCAGTGGCCAGAGGCATTCTGTTTTCAGGTTGTCCGTCCGTCCGTCCCATTCTTGTGAACACGATAGTGCCTTGAAGGAATTTCTTCAACTATGATACAAACAATCCCTAGGGATCAAGAATTAACTGATATGAGTTTGGTAGGCAAAGGTTAAAGGTCAAGGTCACATTGACCTCATGTTCCTGTGAATATAATATATCAGGACTGCCAGTAAGGAATTTCATTACATCCAGCACAATTCACTATGACTCATGGATGACCTGATTCAAATTTGGTGAACACAAGGTCAAGGTCACAGTGACTGCTCAGAACACCTCAAGGAATTATTTCAAATTTGGTACACAACACTTTTTATTTGAAATCTGAAACCATCGAAAAATCAATTAATTATTCCTAAAAAAATCCCACAATTGTATAATAAAAATGTTTAGTTTAAAAACCTTCCATTTCACTTATTTTTATTTTGAGTACATTATTTTAATTCTTTATTTTTTTTAAATTTAAAGATAAAAAAATGAACTTTCAGTCTCAAATTGTACTTCTTCAATTCTTTTCATTTGGCCCTGATTTAGCTCCATACATGTGAACCCTGTTCTCAGTTGTCAGTCCTGAGATTATAGATTCTAGTTGCTGCAAAGATTTCTTCTGCCACTGTGAACCTATCTGTTTCTCTATTATGTAATGTTGGACCTCTTCTATTCCAATTGTGATTTATGCCCTTAGAAGTCAAAGAACTGGCCAGGAGCCATAAAAGACAAAGCAGTTTTCTTTTGTGCTGGTCTCCCTATTTGACCACATGAGCTTGTTATCTGGCTATATTTAGATTATCAAATCTCACACATTTGCTTTAAATAACAATTAAATAACTAAACAAATCAGATTTATTGTGGAAGGACCTTATCTTAAGGCACTGTGATGTATCAGAGTTTCTCAGAATACCTCAGATGTGGTGGTCTGAAGCCTTGTAATACAAAATACGCCTTTGAACTGAGTTGAGTTAATCTCCTGATTTTTATATGAGGAAGAATTCTCCTTTTTGAACAGTCTAAAACTGAAAGTTTCGAGGGGGCCCCTAGATACTTTTCATTTCTTTTATGAGGACGGTGTGTGTGTGCATACAAGCATGTGTATACGTTTGAGTGAGTATACATTGCATGAGTACTTGCCTCATAATTTCAATTGCTGCTGTGTTGTCAGGAGCCACTAAGCTTCATATCAGGCCCTAAAACATTTAGATGGATTTGAATTTGGAGTAATTACTATAAATATTTTTTTAATGCAAAGTTGCAGGTTTTGGTGGTATTTATAATACTTACAAACTAAAAAGAACAACCCAGTGTGTACTTTGAAATATGACAACATGCAGTTCAGTAGTTCAAAAAACCCCTCCTTGTTTAGTTTAATGGCAGATAAAGCTAACATCATTTTCTAATTCAGACCTACTACCTATCCCCATCCAATCAAAGAGCCATCTCAAGCTATGCACATGAAATAATGGACAAAGTGTCCATATATGGTGAATGACAAGTTATCAAAGCATTCACCATGCGTCCTGTGTCCTTACCGGTCGTTTGCCTTCGTCGTATTGCTAGTATTAGCAACACTGTTGGTGTAACACTGCATGTGCGTCCGTGACCTGCAGCAGTTCAGTGAGGCAGCCTTCATGCATAGGTGAGGTGAGCGGTGTCTTAAACATGAATCAGGTGTGCCATCACCAGGATATATCAAATGCACATCTTGTGATTTTTGTGCACTCGCACACATTATTACACACCCTAGGTGAGCATGTTGGAGGCTCTGTCACGACCTGTCACATTTGCTGCCCTCTTCCCCCTGAAACTCAGATTCACCCCCTCATGATGTTTCTGACGGTTTGGACATTTTGTGGAGCGTTTCCTTCTTATTTGTGTCTGGGTTCATTTAGAGTTTTATATAAGCAGTTGCCGAATTCACTTGTCTGAAGATGATGATGATATTACAGTCAACACAATATTCAGTATGCACAAATGCTTAACATTTAAGTATGATTCATAAAGAGGGTGACGGTTCATGTAGTGTATGTATAGGTGTGTGTAGAGGATATATATTGGTACTTTTGAATTACTTCATGCACACTGAACCATGTCACCCTCATTTATCCACAGGAGTGAGGAACACGTTTTTTCATCCATTGCTAATCTATTTCTTTGCTTCCTTACTCTCAGCTGCCGGTCCCGATGAAGCCAGGCAGTCTGCTTTTAAATGTTAAAGTAACAAGGATTAGCTGATCTTGACGAAAACAATTTCTTAGACCAGCCATGTTATTTTCACACCTGATTTAGTACTGTGCTCATACAGTCTGTGTTCAACCAACAGGAGTCATTTGCTACACACGCTATATTTTAAATTTGTCAGGGTTTGAACAAACTTTTCTTTTCATACAAATTTGTAGAATCCAAGTGTGGATCCACTTAGGCAAGGCCATAAAGTGGAAAGGCTTTTCCATGGAATAACCAATGTTGCATTTTTCAGCCATTAAATGGCTTATTATGTATGTACAAAGAAAACGCCCTCATATGAAGAGTGGATAAAACTTACATGGTAGAGCTTGGATTGGCTCATATCTAAGTCTTACCCTTCATAGCACCACTTCCCACACATTATCACATAGTATCTGCATGCACATAGCTATGAGGTAATGGAAGGAGATGCAGACAGAGGCAGGGCTGTGTTGTGAGGCATTGTGGCAGCTTCTGGCCATGCCTGGCCCTGCACAGCACAGCTCTGCCCTACCATAATACTCTCAGCCTGCTAATCTTCCTGCACAATGAGAACACTCCTGCTCTTTGTGCAAGTAGGCCCAAAGTGTGTGACCCACTCTGAGCCTCACTATAATCACAGCACTCATTAAAGGTCCTGCCTTAAAACCCCTGCCACCCACGTCCCCCCTCCCTGTTTCTCTTCTCCAGGCTGTCTCAAGCTTCATGTCAGAAGGCGCCTAAATACACACAAAGGCGGCCATGGAACAGCATTCAACCAGATTCCAGGGAACCACAGTTGTTGATCTGTTGTAACTGTACAAACATCTCCAATTTACACAGGACAATGGGGGATTACTCTGCATTTCTTTTACATTCATTCATCTGAATCTATTCTATGTGTTGAACATAAAATATTTTTATTACAATAATTGCTCAAATGACTAAAAGAGGGAAGCTTGTGGTATTTCGACAGTTCATAACTCTTGGTTAAAGTAATAAGGTTGGGGAATGCTGATGGTCTTGGTTAAGATAAGACTTAATTGTCCCAGAGGGACATTGGAAGCCTTGAATGCACAATTTGGCTTCTGTACAGAACCAAATATTCCAACAGTCCATACGTCTCATAAATACCAGTTTAAAAGTGGTTGTACAATAAATTACTCAGGATAAATATTTTTAAAAAAAACATTGACACTCACAATTCTGAAATACTTAAAGGAAGAAGCCCTCAAAAATGTATGCTCATCTGTGTCTTGCACAAACTCCTGGCATTATTGCGAAAGCCACCAATTACTTTCAAGAAAGTTATTATCATCATCATCAGCAGCCGTGTTTGCTTTTGGGTTTAATGGAGTGAGGGATGAAGGAGCTGTTATTCACAATGAAGAGTATGAGTGGGAGGCTGTTTCCTTCATATAAGGTCCGAAGATCTGGGTGCTGATTG